TAGTTCATAACTGACATTTACACATTTATTATTGATATTCGAAAAAAAAAGTCAAAGTTCCAATAACCTAGACGCAGCAGATTCCCAAGTGAAGAATACATATCTCTGATTCGGAGAACGTACTTTTGGCATATCCCCTTTTACCATTTCGACACCATGAAACAATATAGCGTCAAAATCTGTCAAAGACTCATGATAATCACGCTTATTCGTTGCATAACAATGTGGCACTGGGCATCCTTTAAATATATCTCCATGTCCAAAGTAAAAATATTTCTCTTGCTCCCCGTGCATCTTATTCCAATACAGAATAGTTTTAATAGCACTTCCATGTTCAGTACGACGAAGAGAAACCATACACGACGTTTTTCTTTGCGCTGGATATAAAGAGGGAGGTCGGGATTCTTGTCAGGTAAACTAAAAATTGAAAGATATTTTTTTTTTAAATTTGAACTATTTTTGAATGGTCAGGGTTATCATGATTGGTATATGTACAGGGAGACTCCGGCGGACCACTTACGCTGTCTGTTGAAGGCAGACACGTTCTCATCGGTTTGGTTTCCTGGGGAATCGGATGTGGTCGTGAACATTTACCTGGTGTCTATACAAACATTCAAAAGTTCGTTCCGTGGATCGATAAAGTAATGAGCTAAACGAAGAGAGACGACGGTGCATTTGTGTTTGACTGATATGACGTCGATTTTTTGAATGAGAATACATGGAAGAATTTATACGACGTCGGGTCAATTAATCGACGCGCGACAATGATTACTCGCAAAGTTACCAAAGTTTACGGGAGTTTATTGAAGCTTGCTTTTTCCTTTTTCGCCGACCTGAAGACATTACAGAGAGCTTCGATGACTCCGACACTAATTGAATATCTAATGTGCGTGAAGGTACCTATAGGATTTCCAGTAAATTCATGTAGATATACTGGAATTTGCATCTGATGACTGTTGAATCGGTCTTGTGTGTATAGAAGGACGACATTCTGAACGTGAAAGCGACTGTACTCATTCGATGACCACTGTTAAATATACTGATTAACTGTGCGAATGATTGCTCTTTTTTTATGTATATGTATACAGATATTTGGGAAAACCTGGCTGCATTTACGTAAAATGTTTATACGTTTGTGGATATTTTTTCATTTTCAATTTTAATTTTGTACCGAACTTTACTAGAAGCGCACGAATGAGATTTTATTAGTTTTCAATTAATGAAAATAAATTATACGGCAATTGTATTGTCTTTTTATTTACTATAAGCTTTCGTAAATATTAATTATTCTGTGTCATATACATTAAATGCTATTTTATCACAGGGGAACTTGAACAACGTTCGGTCATTGATTATTTTTGAAACCATCTTGGGTCCGGAAGATGGCACTGACCATCAAGGTAATACTTTCGAAAATCCAACAAACTCTTTCTCGGCAAATTCTTATCGTGCAGCATTTCGCAAAACTTACACAGTGTCGATTGTTTCGAGTCTTCAATAGCGTAATATCGCTTCCACCAAAAATATTTTCTATATTCGGCAGGATCGCTCGCGAGTTTCTTTAAGAACGCAGCGAGTGTCTCTGCGTTCTTAAAATCTTCGACGTTGACGTAAGATCGCGGTGGGGCGAAACGCGTGTAATTCGCGCCGCCATAAACCACGGGAATTACATTTCTTTTTAATATTTCATAAAGCTTTTCCGTGACGTAATCGACGCACAATGTATTTTCAAATGATATATAAAAATAGTATTCTTTCTCAAGCATCCCATAACAGTCTTGATTTTTGTCACATTTATAACTCCCACATGCACCATAAATGTCAACCTAGAAGCATAAACAAAGTTAACCTTACTTTATCAACTAAAATTATATTTATCAAACCTTTTGAAATTTCGATATACCCGTATATACTTTCGAAGAGCCGCCACTAATGCATCGCGCTTTGATATTGTGTTACAGTGCGAAACAAACCAAGCAGCCATCTTGGTCTTTTCCTTAACAAGGTTATCCAGCTCCGGATCAGAGAATGTGTCTTCCGGTTCGCGCCATGATACTTCCTTCGAACTTGGCGCAACAATTTCATTCGTATTTCGATCCCTAACCACAGCGTAAGGACGTGGAATATCCGAATCCATTCGGAAGCCCATGGTCCAATTATAATAATTTGGCGTCAGCTCGAACACATGATTATTAATAGGTCTAAAAATTAACGAAAACTTAATTACAAAATAGTTCATAACTGACATTTACACATTTATTATTGATATTCGAAAAAAAAAGTCAAAGTTCCAATAACCTAGACGCAGCAGATTCCCAAGTGAAGAATACATATCTCTGATTCGGAGAACGTACTTTTGGTATATCCCCTTTTACCATTTCGACACCATGAAACAATATAGCGTCAAAATCTGTCAAAGACTCATGATAATCACGCTTATTCGTTGCATAACAATGTGGCACTGGGCATCCTTTAAATATATCTCCATGTCCAAAGTAAAAATATTTCTCTTGCTCCCCGTGCATCTTATTCCAATACAGAATAGTTTTAATAGCACTTCCATGTTCAGTACGGGTGTTTTCCTCATTCGGCAGCTAATAATTCCAAACATAGCAATATTATTAATAAAACTTAAGAAATCATACATATTTATTTGGTTATAAGAATAAGGGAAGAAAAAATGTTTGAGCTACCTGTAGTGCAACTCTTGAAGATTCGTAGCTGCCGTTAGCTTTGATCGGATTATTTTCATTAAAATTAAAGGCATATCTATGCCCGTAATTGACACTTTTTATTGCAAAAATCTCCCACTCGTTATACACTATTATTAAATACAGGGTGGCCAAACCACCAGTAAAGAAAAATACGATTATATATTTTCGCTGCATCGTTGGAATGACGGCCGATGAGAACACAGCACTCTGATCTATTTTTTGGTAATCTATTATCATCGAAAGATAACACCAGGTGTTTGCACGTAATTACTAAGCTGAAATATTAATAAAACGTGCTACACAAGATAAGAATAGTTCATACGTTATTTTTTGAAAACGCTAACCCATTGTAATTAGATATTTACATTAGTCTCGTTATAGTTTTGTGCCGTGTCAACATCAACTGCAATAGTAACATTTTGTTACACGATATTATTTGTAGATTTATCTTATTAGAGTATATCGTGTAATTGGTGTAGGTGGTCTTCTAGGAATAGCTATATGTGTGTATACGTAAGATAGAAAAAAAGGTAAGATAAGACAAGATAACAAAATATTATACGAAAAACGTAATGTTTTTTTATAACAAGTGTATTCCAAGGACTGATAAGCTACTTATTAAATAACGTGCGTATATTGTTGCGGTATACGTAACATGATTAAAATATTATTTATAGATATGTAAATAATAACTGAAGCGATAAAAATTATCTATTGCATGAAGAATATTTAAAAATGAAAATTTTTTTAGTAATATTTAATTTTGATAAACTCAATTACAATAAAGTAATCACGACAATTGAGATTTGACTCACGGAGGCTTTTGTCTCCATGATTTGACTGTACAAACGTACATACATTCTAGATGCGCGGAGTAATCTTTCACATGGTTCTTATTATGCATATTACAGTCCTGAACCCCTTCCATCCAGAAACCTTTCGACCAATAGAAAAATTATAGAAAAGGACAGAACGATCCTTACGATTTGTTTTTTTTTTCTATTCCCAATTACAGTTTCTCCAGCTACAGTGAACAGTCCAGTACTATATGTCGATGCTTACAATATATAAATATACTGCGTATAGTGTATATTCTACTCATTCTTATTCATGCAGCAGAAATCTTTCATGGACGTCTACAGTATGTCTATGGAACATTACGCAAAAAGTTGTTTTGAAAAGACACGTATTAATTTTATCGGCAAAGTTGCGGTAGAAGGATTGGGACATTAGGGGGCGGGACGTATCGTCATTGCAATACGGCAAGTAGGAAAAAGCATGTTTAAGATTAACTGTTAAATGTGAAATTTCCTTTTGGAATAGACGCCTTTTGTAATGTAATATTAAGTTCCGTAAGTTCACAGCATTTTACATTTCTCAACTTACCTCTTCCTTAACTCTACGACTGTCATCACGGCAATACCTCAAAATATACTTGAACATTTTTATACTTAGATGGACGACAGACAGTACCTGTATGGTCTATTTGATTCCATCATCAGCCGCAAGCCGTCCACCTACTATAGCGCTGCGATCGTCATAAATGCTATAGTTCCGATTTTTGTAGCTGCTGAAAATAGAAGTGTGATTGCCATCTTCGTTCTTCACTTTTCGGCCCGTTGTAAGAGTACCGTGCAGTATGATATTTCTGGCATATCTCCTCATTGGAGGAGTCAGCCATAAGGAAAGGAAGGAAGGTATTATGATATTTATCTGTACCCATTTTAAATGTTATTAGGTATTTTTACGGGAATTTAGATTCGAAATTGATTTAAACAATAAAAGTTATATCACAATCTTGTAAATATACGAAGTGGGTTAAAATTGTAAATAAACTTTTTAAAGTTTTGGAAATGGATTAAGCTTAATTTGAAATATGAACAAATTTGATTATTGAAATATTAGAACTATTAATTGATTTAATAAATTTAAATGTGAAAACTTAAAAATTAGGTATAAAAGCATAAAGAGACGTCTGGGCTCTGAATAGTCAATCTTCCTCGAGTCGGTCTCCTATACCGGCCTCTTGGATGCTCACGTCTTATCCATTTCATTCCTTCTTTTGTTTTATATTTATTCCGTCTTAACCTCCTCATTCATTTTTTATCATTATTTCTATATAATTGTCCCTTAATGCCATACTTTCATATTTCTTCACTCTCTTATTTCTTTCTCTCTTTCTTAATTCTTCTTCACTTTTATACAATTATTCCTTGCTTTCCTACTTCCATACTTCTTTACTTCCTTACTTCTTGACTTCTTTTTTTCTATCTGTTTCTGCCTTCTTCTTTCGCTCTGTTGTCCCTCACTGTCCATTGTGCTTGTCTTACTTTTCCTACTTCCTTGGTCGGGTCGAATATATTCATTCAAATAGTGATATAAGGGCAGTCACCCTGATAGTGTAGCTACACGTATAGACCATGGTGTCGGAGGTTGCCCTTCCGGCTTATCCGCTGAGCTTGCTCGATGGTAAAGGACGGAGGTTGCAGCGTTGAATATCGTCCCTCAGGAAGTCCTGGCGGG